CCTTCTTAAACATGACTCCAATTGAATACACAGCAACAGGCATCAAAGCCTTCAACATTTGAATGAATGAAACACTCAAATAGATGTAAGTCGAATTTGAAAGCAACAATGAAAATGCATATAAAGCACCAATTGGAACAACATTGTAATGAATGATTTGAAAGGGAGAAAGGATGGGGTTCCTTGTTGCCAGAGGTGGAGGTGTGGTGGGCGGAGGTCTGGCCGAAAATGCCATTCATGGAGGTGTGGAATTGAAAGGGAGGAAGAAGATGAAGAGGAAAAAAAAGAAAAAAAAAGCTGATTAAGTGGTCACATGCACAGCACATGACTTTTTTTAGCCGGAAAACGGAGGTCAACGCCAGAGATTGGTCAAATGACCCTCTTCACAACTCAAACACCATAAAAGGACCTTTTGTGCCACCTTTTTTTTATAAAAGGACCTTCCTCACAAGGTCGACCACTTAAAAGGACCTTCCTCGCAATTTTTCCTTGTTAAAATCACGTGATAGTTAATAGTCGAAAAGTAAAGTCAATTGCCAGATTTTGGTCAAAGGTCCCTCTTTACAACCTAAATGAGATATAAAGACCTTTTTTGTCACTTTTTTTATATAAGGACCTTTCTCACAAAGTCGACCACTTAAAAGAATATTTCTCACAAATTTTCCAAAATAAAAATATGTAGTAGTGGGTTTACGTGAGGATCATAAATGAAGAAAGATATAATATTAAATATAACTTTTTGCCAAAAAGAAAGTGTAAAACTTATTAAAACACGACACATTTGGTAAATGTAACACTTATTAAAACACGGAGAAAATAACTTTGTTTATGTCATGGTAACTTTTATTTATATCAACGTAACTTTTGATCATTTTAGGATACACAATAATTTGTATACACCCGGTTTTTTAAAAAGTTTGTTATGACCAATTTGAGAATGACATTCGAAAAAGAGAGTCAATTAGGCGCATGAAGAAGGAATTCGGATTAATAAAAAAAACACTATGATCTAGATGGAGGCCAGGCAACAAATAAGTTGTTGTCCTAATGTATGGCTAGCTGCTGGTCTTACTGGAGTATAAAACGCAAGAGTTGTATGAAAGAATGAAGAATTGGAAGCTCTTACCAGAGTTGCACCACGCACTCTACCGTGCTGCATAAGGGTTGCTTAATTGATGTCAGTAATTATTTTGCTAATTACATTATATTATTATTAGTGTTATTACTTAATCTGTTGAACTTGATAGCAATAATCGTATAATGATAGTTGATACTGATAATGTGAGTATTAAGTTTAGTTCTGTATGACATATGATTATATACTACTTCAATTCGTATGTTGGAATTTACATTTTCTTTTTTAACTCGAGCTGTTTGGAATTAGTTGCCACGCGAGTCAAGTACTGCTACAAAGCCTTCCATTTTACTCTGTATAACGTAATTCCCTCCAAAGGATATAGTACGCAGTTGCAAAATTGTTGCAAAACGAGAATTCTTACATCTAATTAGCAATATATGTCCTAATTTTACTGATGAAATCATACATGATGAATCCATAAATTGTACAATAACAAATTAATATGTACACAATCAATTCAGAATCTTCTAGAAACAAACTTACAAAGGCTCTTGAAAAAGAGGAAGTCAACACGAGTTAAAAGTCCATCTAACCTTTAAATTACCTTAATACCCAATCATAAACTAATAAGACTCTCCTTGTATAGCTAGGAAACTTTAATCTCAAGTTTTACCGGGAAACCCTAGTTAATATTAATATTTAATTAATAAAACGCGCTTAGTAACATTAATATCTCCGCATAATATCATTCAAAAGAAAAAAAAAATATCTCCGCATAATATATATATTATGTTCTTTTGATCAACTGTTACTTTTCACTTTTCAGAAAATTAGATAAAAGAACAACTTATCAAGAAACCTTCAAAGAAAAAAGAAAGAATGATAATAAACAATAGTAATGGTAATCATCATTATCTTCCTGATGATTTCGGCTTCTTTAATCAAACATACAACGAACACGGCAATGGCGATGATTCGATTTTTCCGTTTTCGAGTAGTGATTCGGAGTTCTTAAACCAGAATTTGGTTAATCCTGTTTATTCTCCTGTTGTGAATAATACTGCATTTACTTCTGATCAGGTACTTTTTTTTTTTTTAATGGTGATATTTTTTTTTTTTATAATTCTTGCTTTTTTTGGAGTAATTTTAATGGTGATTATTGTGAAAAGAAAAACCCATGAAATCTAACGTAATCGTGATTAAAAAAAAAAAAGAAAAGATAAAAGAAAAGTCTAGGAGAAAATCTCGTTACGAATATGTTTCTTGTTTACTTGTGTTTCTAAACTTTTTTTTTTTCCTCTATATTTTTATGAACTTTATCGAAACACAAAGATTGAATCGTCATGATGAATGCCATAGTTCATGCTAAACTTGTTATGAATACGTTTCTTGTTTATTTATGTTTTTAATCTTTATTCGAAAATTACTCTATAAGTCTTTTATCAATGTTGAATCACAGCTATTATGTTTAAGGATAAAAGTGAATTTTTTAAAAAAAAAAAAATTTTACTACATGTAAATCAGGTATTAGTTAATTAGGTTTTACAGTTAAATTTTGATAATCCTTCCAATCCAAAATAACCAACAAATTTGACTTTTTTCACTATTTATATACTAAATTTTATCATATTGTATAAAAACCAAAACTAATCATGAAATTTATTATTATATACCATATACAAGGTTTTTATCTTAATACTATCAACTTTTTATTATTATTATATTAATATATTATTTTAGCGTAATGCTATATTTTTAATTAATATTTGATCAGTATACACGGTTATTTTTTCCATTGATTTGTAGCAAATAAATTCCCAATTAAAACACACCTTTGTTTCCTAAAAACCCAAAACCCTTCTTATAGCCCAGAAATTCATAATAATAATGCTTATCAATCCTTCGCAGTTTGCACAATAAAAATTTCACATGGTCAAAATTTTACTCTTTGACTTAAAATTCCGAATTAGGTTATCTTTTAGATTACAAAAGTCAAAATGTAGTTAACATTAATCTGTTTAGAATTGATGGTCATAATTTAAGTACCTCCATTTCAATAGTTGCATATTCCTCTATTAATTTTTTACCATATTTAATTACTAATATGTAATAATGATTATTATAATATTATTTGTTTTTAGGTTAATCTCAATATATTATTAATCAAATATTTAGATTATTATTTTGACATATTAGATCCTGTGAAATAAAACAATATTCTTATCATCCTAAATTATACGTAAAGTTATGATTATCCATGTTGCCATGCCCTATACTTCATAATATGCTTAATTGTAGTGCAAAGTATAATATTTCTACCTATTTATATTTTCTTGTAAGACCCTCCCTATTTATAATATGTTATGCCTTTGTGGCTCATTCGGACAGAAAACATTATACGCTTTTTTCCCTTGGTGTAGGAAATCGATCATCTGGCTTTTTGGATGAGATTTAGAGGTACTACAGAGCTTGGTCTTACTCTTACTATTGATGATCAATTGTTGGATTTGGTGAATCCATCTCCAACCAAAGTTACCTCTTCTATGTCGTTATTTAGCTTCAAAGCTTTGTCTCTTCGAATTGGAACTTGGGAGGTAATTCTTGTTAGCTTTTCTATTTGATTACCTTTTTCATTCTCTCAATTTCATTTCTTCTGATCTCAAACTTTATAGTAATACTTTCACTTATCAACTGTTAATACTATATATCACATCATATTGCATCGGTTTATCATTATTAATTGTTACTCCTCTCTTGTATTTCATGATAAAACTAAATGTGACACCTACTATTTTTTTTGTACATATATTTCTCATAATACAGAAAATAATAACAAATGGTTCAGAGACTATAAAGTGCAAAGGTTTCCCCAAAGGATCATTTTTCGCTTGGGAATTGGAAGAATTAGTTGACGACAAGCGGCTGAAAAAAAGAATCAAGTTCAACTGGTCAGATATTAAAGATATGAAGGTTCATATCCCGTTCAATGACGACTTAGGATGTCTTATTTTCAAGGTATGTCAATTATTCTAGAACAAAGTTGTAGATCCACGCTTAACTAAATATACGTTACTTATATGGATGTTTTTCATACTTATATGACCTTTTTTTTAATAGCTGAAGAACAAACCCTCACTTTTCGTCGAAAATGATTCACCATCACTTCCTCGTAAACATACAGATTGGAATGAGGCACCTTACGATTTCACAGACAACCAAGCTTCCTCCTTATGGTATACAAAATATGTGTCCATCTTTTGCATATAAATTTATGTTAACTTAACAAACAAATACATTAGTATAGTTTAGCATATATGATCAATCTTGTTTAATTATTTTCTTGCAGTACGCACGTTTTAAAATTCAAACCAGGTATTTTGGAGAAGCATTATCACTATATAATGAAAGCTCATCCCGATCCGAACTACTACCGTGATTCGTTCTCGCTCCAAAATGTTAGCACAAGACTTCGAGACATAGTTAACTACCTTCGTTGTGATGATACTCAAGTGCAAACTCCATGTGAAGGTGCAATATGTACATATATTATCTCATCTTTTTTTGTTAGAAATTTGCAAACATAAAAAATACGTGTTTTGTGCATGCTTTTTGACGTTTCCTAATAATTAATCATCTTCTTTTTGGTCAATTTACAGATAATGATACAAATAATGAGTACAATCAAAATGATGAGATGCGCTACCTAATCGCCGTCCCAGATGTTTCAAGGGTGATTGACTACGATAGTACTCAACAACTGCCTTCGAGCTCTATGAATGAGGCTTCGTCTAGTAGTGTTCAGCGTTCATGGGGAACCAATGACTTTTTTTCCAATGGCTCGTTAGGAGATATCGTGAGGAGATATTGTTAGAAGTGGCAAACAAAAAGAAGATAATCCACATTCTCTTTCTAGCTCGAGCTGTTTGGAATTAGTTGTCATGGAGAGCTTGAGTCAGTTACAGCTACAAAGCCTTCCATTGTACTCTGTACAGCATAATTCCCTAGAGGATAAGAAATTAGAACAGTTAGAAGTGCGAAATTGAACAGTATGTAGTGTGCAGTCGTGCAGTTGCAAAATTGTCGCAAAACAGAGAATTCTTACATTTGATTAGCAATAAATATCCTAACTTTACTGAAATCATAACTATATGAATCCGAAAAATCTTACATCTAGTCATCACCATAAGCTCGAAAGCTATAACGCTCCTGGTAAAAGTCATTGAACCACAGGTCAGCCTCGAACCACTTGGGATAGCGCACAAGATCACCAGCCTTAAAACTCATATATTGCTTGCTCCCTTCCGGAACAACTCTAACCTCTCCCTCTTCGATATAGACAAGCTGATCCACATGCCAGTCCCAGGGCAATTTGCATTTTCCAGTCTTCCATACTGACCATCTTGATACACCAAGCTCATCTAATCGCTTGGGAGATATTTTTCTTTCTACCCTTATCTGATAAAGTTCTTCCAAAGACTTCTCTACTCTCATTGCCTTTACACAACAAACTCTGCCAAGATTATGATCACGCCTTTTAACTTCTGTGTTGGTTCGGATAGTTGAGCCGTGAAATGTTGATGAAAACAGAATACTGGCCATCACTGAATACAGCTCCTAGCTAATTTTCCTGCAGCAAAATTTTGAAAGACCAAACTTAGAAATTAAGAGCCCTACAGCATGACTGTAAATACTACGAGCTAGTGCCTAAATGGCTAACAGTCGAAATAGAGATGCTGAAGAAACAGGGGCCTATTCGTTTCGAGGGTACAACAGAAGACAAGAAAATCAATAATCTTCATAACTGTAAACTATTGTGTTTAGTTTGAAAATTTTCAGTCTCCTTTCTCTAATTTTTTATGTACGGAATTACCCCAAATGACTTCACTGATTCCAACCCCCCACAGGATTTTCGATTCCCCCAGACTTCTCTACACCCTCACCTCTTCCATTACCACCAATCCACCAGCTAAATCTTGTAAAGACCAAACAAGTATAAGAGCCCCAACACATTATGCAGGAATTATAAAAGAACTACAAGATTATGTTGAACAAGCAAAACATAAGTATTTGACTATTATGTTATAGGATTTATTAGCATTTAAATGTGGACAAAGCAGTGTGAGATATGATTAACATTCCATACCGAACATGGAAAATTCACAATTTAACCCATACATTATTATTGGCAAACAACAACAAGCATCTCGACAAAATGGTCTACACCAATTACATTCAGAACCAAGCATTTTCATCGCTAGAGAGCTGAGCTAAACTTGAAATTCAGATATACTACTCTAAACACTGAAACATAAACAGTATAGGGGGATTAATCCCTCCACTTTATACTGTCGGGATTACTACTTAACAAAATATTTTCATTATCGCGACTATTTCACTTCATATATACACCCACTATCCATTACACCCAAGGAATCAATCAATCAAAGCCTTAATTCCATAAGTGGGGTCAACTACATGAACTAAATTTGATTATTCCATGTAATCAATTGGTTATAATATAAATCAATGCATAATACTGGTTATAATATAACACCCAAGGAATCAATTGGTTATAATATAAATCAATGCACAATATTGGGAATTTCCCTAATTTTAAATCAACTATCTAGCAGAATTCCTTCCAGGAAATTGATATAAAAATTACAATTTTACCCTCTTTCTCCTTCGCCTTATCTGTAAGACTGAAGTCCTCACAACAACCAGTAACACCACCGGCAAAGCTAAATTACCACTATTTTCCTCAAAAACACCCAAAATTATACTAGCTTAAACAAATTAATGAATTGGTTTTGTTAATTTTGAAATTTCAGTGTGAAAATGAGCTAAAATAACATGAAATTGAAATTGAAATAAGCATGAAAATAACAAAAATGGAAGTAAAATAAAGGAGGGTAGAATTGAAAGCATACCAGAGTCCTTAATGGCGGGTGCGAGGAGAAGTGAAAGGGGGTTATCAGTTTACTGGAGAAGTGGAGATTGGTGTATTTGGTTTAGCAAAGTTGTTCAATTTGCACTTTTTTATTACATCTTGTTTAGTTGGGTGGGCTGGGTTTCAGAAATGCTATGATGGCCCATTTGGACTTTTGAGGCCGGGTTTGGGGATTTTTAAATTTTACCTTGCTCGTTCGGATATTTCCCCCTATGCAACTATAGATATTTTGTCCGTTGATTAATGATACTCTCTTCGTTTTGTAATAAAACGTAATAGTAGGATGGGTATAAAGTTTTAGGAAAATTATTGGATAAGGTTTAAAAAAGGAATTTTATAATATAAAGTATAATTAGTATAGATATATTTAATTGTAAATAGAGAGAGATATAATAGAAAAGTTCTGGATAGTATGATTAGGGTTGGTAGAAAAGAAAATTAATAAAATATTAGTGTGTCCTTATCAAATTAAGAAGTGTTGCAATTACTCGTATTATGAAACGGATGAAGAAGGAAAGTGTTGTAATTACTCGTATTATGAAACGAATGAAGAAGGAAAGTGTTGCAATTACTCGTATTATGAAACGAATGAAGAAGGAAAGTGTTGCTATTATACGAAACGGAGGGAGTATTAGCCTTGCGTCTATTCAAAAAAAAAATTTATTTAAATTTTGAAACGCATGGAATTGTCCAATTAAGAAGCTAAACTTGGATATATTTAGAATTAAAAACTATTAACTATCGAATATTAAGGATAATCTAACTACACATATTTTTTGTTATGAATTTCCAAATTTATGTTATTTAAAAAAAAATGCATTTTAATGCTTATGTAGTCATAGGTAGCCTAGGATAGCTCTTAAATGGGCCTAGTCCACACTAAGGGAAATGATTTTGGCACACCTCAATGTGAGAGCACAATTTTCTATGCTATTCTCACATAGAGGTGTGCCAAAATCAATTAAGGGTGTGCCAAATCAATTTCCCTACACTAATTTATTGTGGACCACTAATATTAGAGACATTATGGTTGTTTTATTAAATAAAAAGGTCACTATATTAAAATAAAGGTTATTATGTTGAAATAAAAGTCATTGTGGTATTATAAAGGCTATAATAGGTTATTTTATTTTTTTAATGACATTTTTTATATACTGGTGAATATAAATAATAAAGGTTACTATGTTAAAATTAGGGTCACTATGTTTAACATAACGTCGTATTTCAGATTCACAACAATATTAAATGTCACACAAGGTTTAATAAAGGTTAATATATTAAAAATAAGGTTACTATGTTAAAATTAGGGTCACTATGTTTCATATAATGTCAGTTACATGCATATAATCCGGATTCACAATAATATTATTGTGAACCAGGTCCACACAAATTTTTTTAAGAGATTAAACTATAAAAAAATATTATTATAACAAAAGCTATTGGCATCATCGTAGTACACATGGCAAGTTCTCCTTAGTTATTTTTCTCCGTTTGCATTAATCTATACTCTACTTATAATCTTTCAAAAATAAACTTGCAATTCTACACTTTTCCATGCATATCTATTGCAATTTGCAACACTTTCACAACATTTTCATTTGTATTTAAATTAAAGTTTTGTAAAGCGACTTATTATTTGTGTTAAGTCTTAACACTAAAGTTTCCTCTAGGGTTTTCTCTTGGGAGGGTTTTTGCTCTAATTTTTTCGCTAGTTCCTGCTTCTACTTCGAAGATTTCTTGATCTTTTCTCTACTTGCTGATAATGTCAAAAGAATTCTCTTCTATGGAGGAAAATTCAGATGTTACGAATGATCATATTTCGAAAGCGAGTGATATTGATTGGGTGGAAGAAGGGGGGAAGGATGAAGAGGCTCAGATCGAATTGGCAATTGTGGGACGAATTCACACCTCTCGTAATGTCGATTCGAATGCTTTAATCTTGACAATGAAGAAAAGTTGGAACCCTAAGCATGGAGACGAGGCGAACATAATTGGTGACAAATCTTTCTTCTTCCAATCTCATCACTGGAAGGACAAGCAAATTGTTATGGATTTACAACTATGGCATTTTGATCAACACATTTTGATCCTGGATGATATTAAAGGTAATTCAAAACCTTCTGATATACCCTTAAACTTGGTTCCCCTTTGGCTCAGAATCTATGATTTACCCTTCAAAGGTAGGAATAATGAGGGCAATTCTAGGAGGATTATAGATAAAATTGGACTGTTTCTTGACATGGATAAATTTGATGTTATTGACATTAATAAATCTTCGCCAATTCGAGTGCTTATTGATGTGAATAAACCATTGAAAAATGTTGTCGAACTTAAAACGGGAAAAGGGACAATTGAGGTCCCTATAAAATATGAAAAACTCCCTGTTTTTTGCTATGTTTGCGGTTTACTTGGATATGGTGAAAAGATTGCGAGGAGAATGTAATGACCAGAAGATTTAGTGAAAATTTAAGGGTTTCAACACCCTGGAAGACTGCAAATAATGATGTTGGTGACGATGTTGAGGGGCTGAGTAATGCAGTAAAGCGTTTGTTCATAACAAAAGAAGAAACGCAAGTCAAGAAGATATGTGAGAAAGGGGAAATAAGGGAGGAGAGGCAGATTACAGTGAAGAAAGAAAATAAGAGGGGGGAGGGGGGAAAGCAGGTCGAGAAATAGGGAAAAATTGTTGAAGGTGTAAGGGTCAGGGAAGAAAAACAGAATGAGGCTGCTGGTAGTAAGCTCTGTAATGTTCGAGATCAAGTTGCCACAAAGGTAGCCATATGCAGAGAGAACGTGCAAGAAGCAGAACTAATATGCCTACCTGATGAAGTTGGACCGAAAGGAGGTATGAGACAATGGAAGAGAATTTCCAGAACAAAAGGGGGTGAGGAGAATGTGAAGACACAGATAGCAGAAGGCAGCAAGAGAGTTAGAGAAGAGGGTGAGAATGTAGAGCAGGAACTTCATATACAAAAGAAAATAATTTATACAAATTTGTGAGTGGTGTGGGGCCAAGGGCGGAGGTTGGCGAAGACCAACCTCGCCAAACCCAATGAATATTTTAGCTTAGAACTGTCAGGGAATGGGCAATCCCGAGCAATTCGACAACTCTGATTGTGGGATTTGGAATCATTGCCCAAGTTTGGTTTTTATTTCAGAAACAATGGTGGATAGGAAGATTATGTAGGACCTTAGAGGTTCATTTGGCTTTCATGCAGCATTTGGGGTTTCGAGCGTAGGGAAGGCATGAGGTCAATGTATGTATTGGAAAGAGGAGGTGGATTTTCGTATTGTTTCTTTCTCCCAACATCACATATGTGGTGATATTTGGAGTGGGGGGATTGTTGTTTGGAGATATGTGGGGATTTATGGTTGGGCGAAAGCTGAGGAGAAGCCTAACACTTGGAGACTAATAAATCACCTCTGTGAGGATGATATTGCTCTTCTCTTTGGAGGTGAATTTAATGAAATCTTGACCTACGAAGAGAGAGAAGGTGGTGCTGGTGGGGTTAGAAGAGAGTTGGAAAATTTTCGTGATGTGGTGGAAATAAATAGGCTGCATGATTTGGGATTTCAAGGCACCTGTAGAACGCCTGCTATGATTCTATGCATGTGAGGGAAAGGTTGGACAGATTTTTGGGTTTTGAGAGATGGTGTTCTCTTTATCCAAAAGCAACTGTGGATCATTTATTGAGGGTAAAATCATATCACATTCTTTTACTACTCTCGTGCACTGATGAAAACCACAAAAAGAAGAAAAAAAAAGGAGATTTATGTTTGAGACGTGCTGGTTGTTAGATGAGGGATGTGAAGAATTAGTGAAGTGCTGGTGTTCTGGAAAGAATTGCAAGAGTAAGTAAAAATCTAGAACAATGGAGTGGGGAGCATTTTCATCAGCTAGAGAAAGAAATAAAGGGTGCCGAATTAGCTTTTGAAAAGGCACAAGCTCTTCCAGTCATCGAGGAAAGTTGTGACGAATGTGGCAGACTTGAGCAATATTTAGAAGAGTTGCATGAAAAATTTGAAGCATACTGGCATTTGCGATCTCGGGTTTCTGAGGTTCGGGACGTAGACAAGCATACAAAATACTATCATCATAAGGCGTCTCAACGTCAAAAGAAGAACCAAATTACAGGTCTTTGGGATGAAAATGGGATATGGAAAGTGGAAGATGATGAATTGCTGAATATTATGAGTAATTATTTTGCCGGAATTTTTACGTCTACAAACCCCACGAGCCTTGACTTGACCCTGTGCTTGACTGTGTTCAGAAGTCAGTTTCGGATAATATGAATGCAGCTTTGTTGAGGCGTTTCACAAGAGAGGAAGTTCATCAAGCACTCAAGCAAATGCACCCAAGCAAAGCCCCGGGGCCAGACGGAATGCATGCAATTTTTTACAATGCCCTGGGGTGTTGAATGAGAATCCTCTTCCGGTTCATATAAATGCAACCAACATAACCCTGATTCCGAAGAATAAAGAACCACAAAATGCAGCTGATTTTCGACCCATAAGCCTTTGTAATGTTATTTACAAGCTCATTTCAAAATGTGTGGTGCTCCGATTGGAAAATGTGTTAGGGGAGTTGATATCAGAAAATCAAAGTGCTTTCGATCTAGGAAGACTAATTACAGATAATGCTTTGATTGCCATGGAACTCTTCCATACCATGAAGACCAGAAGCAAAGGAAGAAAAGGACACATTGCTATGAAGTTAGATATGAGTAAGGCTTATGATAGGGTGGAATGGGGCTTTCTAAGACAACTTCTTCTGAAAATGGATTTTGATGGAAGATGGGTTAATCTGGTGATGACGTTGGTTTCTACTGTAAATTACTCCTTTATCATCAACGGGAAACTATGCGGTTCGGTGACTCCTTCTAGAGGTCTGCGACAGGGAGACCCCCTTTCCCCGTATCTTTTTATTATTGTTGCTGACGCCTTTTCCCAGATGATTCAGAGGAGAGTTTCTTCTGGTGACATTCATGGTGCCAAGGCAAGTAGAAATGGTACGGGAATTTCTCACCTTCTTTTTGCAGATGGCAGTCTCCTTTTTACCAGGACTAACTGACAGGAATGCTC